AGACTACTGGTTTAGGGTCGTTCCAGATGGCAGGGTCACCTGCAGAATAGCATGTTCTCTGGGGAGGGAGCCTCACTGGGATCCCTGCTTGTCCCCTCACCCTCTCCTAAGGGCATGGCCTTTCGGTGGCATCTAGGGAACCACCCATCTGAGGGGGGCTGGCTGTTACTCCCAGGATGCAATTGCCAGACCTGGCCCGAGGGGCTGGGCAGGGCTTCCAGAGATGCAGGTGGGTCCCCTGCCTATCCTCTCAGGAGGAGCCCAGGCTCACCGCACTGGCTCTCCGGTAGTGGCCCCCGGGCTTATCAAAGTTGATGGGGAAGTCATCCAGTGACCAGGTGAAGGTGAGATCCATGGTGGGGTCATGCGAGGCGTGGCACTGCAGGGTCAGGTTCCCCCCCAGGTTGATGTCGGCACTCGAGGGGGCAAGAGTGATTTTGGTCGCATCTGCCAAGAGATGTAAGGCCCGGGGTGGGTCAGGGGAGGAACTGATCAGTCAGGCGCAGAGGGACAGGCGAGAAGCTGTGGCCCATGTCCGGGGAAGGAAGGAGGCAGCCTGGGGCCAGGTTTCCTCATGTCTCACGGGGCCCTGAGCATGTGTGGGAGGGACTAGGTGCCGGAGGGTGGCAAGGGGTGGTGGTGGCACCATGGACAGTCTGGAGCCAAATGAGGGATCCAGGGCCACATGCGGGACGACCCCCCCACGGTGGCTGAGCGCCCCCCTACCCCGCACAGAGAGGATGCCGGTGCTGTTGGCCTTGCCCATGAAATTCTCAGCGAAGCAGATGTATTTGCCTTCATCAGACCGACTGATGTTTCTGATGACCAAGGTGCCATCTGCAGTCACTGTCACCCTGCAGCAGGGACAGAGCAGGGCTGCAGCCCCAGACGGGGAGGCGAGGAGGGCGGGCCTGCGCCCTGGCCGGCTGGGGCCCTACCTGCTGCTGTTGACCAGGATCTCTGTGCCTTTGCTCCAGAGCACGGCAGCCTTGGGGGCAGCCCGTGGCTGGCAGGGCATAGAGACCTCGCCGCCCCGTGCCGCGGGGATCAGCCGCCTTACGGGGTTCAGTCTGAAATCGGGGGCCAGTGCTGGAAGGAAAGGGGGAGCCCCATGGTCACCCTGGGGCAAGAATGGCTAGAGCCCCTTGGCTACATAGGGTGCATCTCTGGGGGGCACACCGCGAGGGACCCCTAGCAGCCTGCTTCCTAAGTGTGCCTGGATCCCACCCCATTCCACCGCTCTGGCCTAAGCCACTCCTCTTCTGCCCGGACTATTGGAAAAAACCCCAGGACCTCCCTCCTGCTTGCTCGTGTCCACCCAACAGCCAGGACGGCTTCTCAGGGACCCCTGGCCCTGCCCACCCAGGGGGCCCTCCAGCAGCCTCCGACTGCACTTGGATGAAGCCCAGCTCCTCCCACAGCCCGGGGTCAGCCTCCCTGGTTGGGAAAAGGGTAGAGAGGATGGGTGCATGGCGCAGTGAGAGCAACCACTGTCGCTGGATTGTGTGTGTGTGAAAGGGAACGGACACACGGTTGGCTGCGTGCGTTCTTCAGCACACACGTGCACACACATATACACCTACACGCATATAAACATATACACATACACACCACACACATGCATGCACCCACATAAACCCTCCTCCTTTCTCACTACAGCCCACCCTGCTCCTTCCCTCCCTCACTGCAGTCGCGTGGTCTCCCCTCACCTCCTTTCTTTCAGACTTTGAATATGCCAAGGTTTTCCTGATCTTGTGGATTTGGTTCTTTGGTTTTGTGTCTGTTTCCCCATCGCTCTTTGTGCTGGACAGTAAACTGCTTGAAGGCAGAGACCCTATCTCCCGTGCCACTGCCCTCGCAGTTGGTGACTGACTGTCAGCTGAGCAGACAGGAATGAGTCTCGGCTAAGGCTTGCTGCAGCTCGGGGAGGTAGTATCACTGTGCCCGTTTGACAGGTGAGGCAGTGGAGACCCGGAGAGCTCAAGTCGTACCCATGAGAATGGGAAGGCCAGCGGACAGCTACTGAGCACCTGTCTGCACATAAATGGTTTGTGCCAGACTAACCTTGGGCTGCTAACCGCAAGGTCAGCAGTTTGAAACCAGGAGCTGCTCCACGGGAGAAAGTTGAGGCTCTCTACTCCCATACAGAGCTACAGTCTCACAGACCCACAGGGGCAGTTCTAGCCTGTCCTGTTGGATCACTCCGAGTCAGAATCGATTAGCTGGCAGTGGGTTTGGTTCTTGTGCTTTGTAGCAGCTGAAGGGCTGGTGGTTCAAACCCAGCATTCAGCACCACAAAAGGAAAGCCAGTGATGGACTTCTTTGAAGATTAGTGTCAAGGAAACGCTGAGGACCCCTTCTATCTGCTGGCAGGCCTTGGCCATGAGTCTGACCCATGGCAGTGGGCTCGTTGGCTGATTCGCTGTGATGAGCAGGCCCTTTCCCTTCACTGTGGTCACCTTCAGTCCTTGCACAGCCCTGTGAGCTCAGCACTGTCATCGCCCGCATTCTCCTAAAGACCTTGCCAAAGGCCACGGCACTGAGGTGAAAGGCTGCAGACTCAGATCAAGTGGATTTGGTTTTCAATGGCTGGTCACCACTTTGTCGCAGACAGGAGCATGCTAGGGACCCTGTTCCCTGGGAACTCACAACTGAACATCTCACCTCCTTTTAAGAATCCCCGAGGTCTCCTATTGGGAAAGCTCTGGAAAGCTTTGAGTGTACCTGGTGTGTGTGTGTGTGTGTAAATCTGGCTACACTGTGGACTATAATAAGACTGTTCCCCAACTTGACTCCCCAAATATATTTGTTAGACCTAGGACACTGCTTGCAACTAATGGTAAATGGTTATCAAGTTATCTCCCTGAAGACAGGAGCTATCCTGAGCTAGCAGACACCATTGTTTCTCCCACAATAGGTAGGGCTCACCCCCTGCTGTTTGGGACAGCGGATTGCTTCCCCTGAAAGCATGGGCTAAATAAAGTCTCCAGCTCTAGGGCAATCAAGGTTAGGCCGCTATCAAGAATCTGGGATCCGCCCATCTTGTCACATGTATACCCTTAATCCCTCCTCTTCCTATAGCGTATGTACCCCTAGATCACCCCCCTCCCATTACTGTATTACCTATAGTATAACCCCTTCCTGTGATGTATGTCTTTACTTGTAATTAGGGGGCTTGCACGTCCCCAAAATATTTTTAGCCTTGGTTAGTAATAAATCTCTCTCTCCTGCCCTCTCATCTCCCATCTCCATGTGTACCACCAAGAGGAGCTGAGGTGAGCATGCTACCATGAGATGTGTCTGACTCCTTTATTTCATTCTCTCTTCTATTTCTCTTGTTCTCTCTGACTTTACTATAATCTTTACTTATTGTCGCTGTACACTTGTGCCTGCTGGGCCTGTGATGATGTGTTAGGGGCTGGCTCCCCTGACACTACACTACAACCGAGAACTCCTAGATTTAGGCCCATCCATGTGCCCTGCTTGGCACAGTGGTTACATGTTGGACTAACAACTGCAAAGTCAGCAGTTCAAAACCACCAGCTGCTCCTCCGGAGAAAGATGAGGCTTTCTACTGCTGTAAAGAGTTAGAGCTCCGGGAAACAAACGGGGTAGTTCTACCCTGTGCCATAGGGCTTCCCTGAGTGGCAGAGAGCCTGGTTTGGTTTGGTGAACCCTCAGGCAGTCCCCTGGCCTCTCCGGGCCTGTACCTTGCACGGCCAGCTCGGCACTGGCATAGATGGTTCCATGCTTGTTCTCAGCCACACACTGGTACATGCCCGAGTCCCCCAGGCTCAGCTTGGAGAACCGCAGGTCCCCGGCCAACACCTCTACCCGGTTCTGTGTGGAAGAGGGTCAGGACCACTGGAGGACCAGGTGGAGGGGCTGACAGGCTCGTGGGTGCAGTGGGGATGCCAAGCTGCCCTCTCCCTGGCTGGGTCTACCGCGGGGCACCTGGGATACCAGAGTGGGGTTCCTAGGCAGGACCTCCCAGATGACCAGGTCCCCCTGCACTTGGAGACTAAAGCTGGGGCTGGTTACTTCTTCAGGACCACAGAGTGAGTTGTGGCTGCACCCTCCACTGGCCCCCCTCGGCCAGCCTGTGACCACGTGACTGAGAAAGCAGCCCTTGGGGACTTGTGGCATCGTCAGTGGTGGGGGTGGGGGTTGGCAAGGGAACCAGGGGAGCACAGGGAGGTGGTGTGGGGGACAAGCCCCAGCTTGCCTACCTGGGAGGCCAGGGGTTCCCCGTTCCGCAGCCAGCGCACTGTGGGCCGGGGCTTGCCTGCGGCGGCGCAGCCCCAGCCCAGATCGGAGCCAATGTCGGCCTCCATGTCTGAGATCACCTTGAGCCACTCGGGCTGCGCTGTGTGGGGAGAAGGGAGGAAAGCCTGCAGTGAGCCTCCGGGAGCCTGGGGCCCACTGAACAGAGGGCAGCGGCAGGGCTGCAGCACCTGGGCCGGACAGCAGAGGGCGCCCCCAGCGTGTCCGGAAGACAGAGGAAAGCGGGGAGGGGTCTGCAGGGAGGGGGAGGGGCGCCCTTCTGTGGTCGCTGCTGAGTCTGATGCTTCCAAGCATCCCGGTGTTTTTCTGGAGCGGGGAGCTATGCTCCCCAGACACCGGGCCATCCCGGGGCAAGTGGGCGGCAGCCAGGGGCATCTCCCGGCTCCTCAGTGGCTCCTGGGCTGGTATTCTCAGCAGTGGGGGAAAGCCAGGGGCCGGTGGCTCAGACCAGTACCCTGCACGATGATGCGGCCCTGGACGGTGTCTCGGCCCTTAGAGTTCTCCGCCTCACACTCGTAGGCACCCTCGTCCTCGAAGCTGACGCTGGGGATGTGCAGCGTGGGCCCGGCCGTGGTCCACTGCGGCGACAAGGAGCCGTCCACTTTGCGCCACTTGATCCAAGGCACAGGGCTGCCAGGGGAGAGGAAGGCAGAGGTGTGCTGAGCAGGGCCTGCTCCCTGTGCACCCAGACCCTGAGCCCTCCAGAGCTGAGCTGCTAGGCGGCTGGGTGTGGGGAGGACAGGAAGAAGGGGCCTGGAGGAGAGAGTGTCCCCCTTGGCCGATTCCCATGTTCCTCTCTCCAGTGCACACAGCACAGGCACATGCCCATAAGGTGGGCCTCCTGACTGTCCACCGTACCTCCCCTGGGCCTGCCCTCTTCAGCAGGGAGGTGGGAAGGGGGCTTTGTGGGGACCCCTTTCTTTCTCCCTTAGTAGCACCTTGCCTGCTTTTTTTAAAGGGCTATCTTTCTTAGTCATCCATGTGTGGACCAAAACTCACTGAAGGGCCACTGGGTCTTAAGGGCTACTGTATCGTCCTTCCGTGTGGAGTTTCTGGAAGCCCAGGGGCTCTCATGTAGTGGAGGGCAGCCTGGATATCCCAGGAGACGTCTGAAGGGCTAATCACTTTAATTCACTCAACAGCCACCTCTGGAGCACCTGCTGTCAGCTGAGCCCTGTTCTGAGGACTTCTTTCATGGCAGAGTGTGACCAACGACGCTTCCTGCGGCCATGTTAGAAGACAAGGGCTGCCACCCATGGGACACCGGCTACGTGCCAGGTGGGTGCTCTAGGCAGGTGCACATACCGACTCACTGAATGCCCCTAAGAGTCTCACGAGGTAGGGACTATTATTATTCTCGTTTTATAAGCAAGGGCGGTCAGGTTGAGAGAGGTTGTGTGGCTGAGGGTTAGTGCCCACACACTGGGCCGGCCTGGGTCATATGGTGCATGCCTTGCTGGGTGTCTTGCTGGGTGGCCCAGGGGGCCATGTGTGAGCCCTGGTGTGGAGAGGGAGGGACAGAGAGGGGCAGGGAGGGGCGGCTACTCCCCACTGAGATCCCGACATGCCATTGGGTCCCGCCAGAGCCACCAAGATGCCCCTGCCTCTCCCTGCCTGCCCACTTCTTGGGGTCCCCAGGTTCCTGAGAGGCTGTGCCCGGGCCAGCTCCCGCTCTCCTCTGGCACTCACTTCCCAAAGGCGAAGCACTCCAGGGTGACCTGCTGCCCCACCAGCGCATAGGTCTCGGGCGGGAACCGGGCCTTGATGCTGGGCGCAAAATGCCGGGCATCTGGGCAGAGAGGGGTTCACACATCAGACACGCAGGGCTCCGTCCGAGGCAGGGATCCGGTGCTGGGATGTAGCCCCCCTCCCCAGGGGGCCTTGGTCTCCTCTGAGGCTAGCAGGGGTCCACGAGGAGGGGGCAGTAGTAACTGGCTTCAAAGTCTCCTGAAGGATTCCTGGCTGACCTTGGGTGGCCAGGTTGAGCTGCGCGAACTTGCTGAAGACGCTCTTGGTGGAGAAGTCCATGTGGCTGGTGGCCAGGCAGGAGTAGTTGCCCAGGTCGGAGGCGTTGGTCCGGGCGATGTACAAGTTCCCTGTGGTCTGAGACACGAAGTGCCGCCCGTCCGTCGGGATGAAGTTGGGGAACTCGTTGAGGAGCCAGCGGTAGGACAAGCCTAGGGCGTGGGGAGTTGGAGGAAGACCAGGGGGTGCTGGGCACACACGCCAGCTCTGGGGGGACCCAACACGCCAGTGGTCCCTGCTTTGAGGGCCCCGGGACGGTGAGCTGGGGCTGGGGGAGCCTGAAAGGAGCAGGCAGCTCCATCCCTGCCTTTCGGGGCGCTGAGTCTGATGGGGCCGCCTGGCTCCCATCCCCGGGGACCCCCTCCCCTCACCCTGAGCTCACAGTTAGAAAACGCCAGGCCCAGAGAGCCACTGAAAGATGGGGACCCAGGGGCCAGTGCTGCCAGGTGGGTGGGGTCACTCGACACCTTTCCTTCTGTGTGTCCCGCTGGAGGCCCCGCCTCACCTGGGTAGTGGGCAGGTGGGTTACAGGGCAGCATCACCCCTCGGCCTTCTGGGGTTCTCACTGGGTCACGCTCCTCCTTGGAGAATTCCTGCAGAACTGGGCAGGCGGAGGGCAGGAACCAGGGCCTCAGACACCGCCCCTCAAGGGCCTCAGACACCACCCCTCAAGCCTGGCAACCCCCCCCCCCCACCAGGACAGCCCTACTGGTCCTTCCCTCCCAGCCCAGTCCCTGTCCCAGTGTCTCGGTGCCCCCCTTGGGCCTCACAGCCGAAGCGGAGGACAGCCTCCCTGCTGACGACGGTGCCCACGGGGTTGGATGCCAGGCACTGGTAGACGCCGGCGTCCTGGGCCTTGGTGGGGCTCATGATGACCAGGTTGCCCCCCACCAGCTGGTGCCGGGACCCTGGCTCCAGCTTCATCTCTGTGCCGTTCATCTTCCACCTGTGGGGGTTGGGGGTGGTGACGGGGACTGAGTCCTGCTTGCCGGGCCAGCCCTGCACGAGGGAGCAGCCAACACCAGTACAGGTCTCACCGGTAGGTGGCCGGGGGGCTGGCCCGGGCACGGCATGCCAGCGTCACCTTCTCCTCTGTAGATTCCTCTGGGAAGAGCAGACCCAGCGGCTGGTCTTCAAAGATGGGCCCAAAGGTGGCTGGGGGTCCCTGGGCAGAACTCCACGCTGGGGAGGGGGTGGGAGGGGAGGGCACTGTCTGAGACCTCAGGGCTTGGTCTCTCTATTTCTCTCTCTCTCTCTCTCTCTCTCTCTCTCAGCACTGACACCATGCAGAATGTTCTGACGACAGCCACACCCACTCTCGCCCTTGGAGTTGAGCTGAAGGCTGCGGCCAGCCAAGGGGCTGAGCTTCCTGCTTCCGTGAGGGTTTTCAAACCATTTTATGGATGTAAAAGGCACATAGGCAATTCTCTAGTCCAGTCACACCAAGAAGGGCTGCACAGTCCTCGCGTCTGCTCAGTACACATTCTCCATTCTTGTCCTCATCGACATGGCTCCTCACTTCCCTCAGTCTCCCCTGCCGTCCGTCCCCCCAACGAAGCCATTAATGCAGTCACTGCCTCTGTCCTGGGTCTCATGTACAGGAACACACTGAAACGCAAAACCACAAAGCTCACAAGGATATCAACGTTAAACAGATTAAGAACCCCAGTCGACCAGAAGGCAGGGAATATTAAAATCCAGAACAACTTGAAAATGGATCCAAAGGGAGGCCCAGTGAGAAGGTGGGGGATTTGAACCCGACAGCCTCTGCCATCATCCGCTTTCCAGTGCGTGACGCAGGGCCACCCACAACCCAGGTCGATGGTCAGAGGGGTTCACCGGGGCTTCATCTCCATCCACCTTCCTGGAGTGACATTAAAACGTGACGTGGTTTCTGTCGTTGTTGTGAATATTCGTGGCAGAACGTGTGGAAGGGGCTGCAAAGGGTTGGTGGGAAAATGTTATCCTTCAATTCCACGTTTCCACGAGCTTTTCAAAGCCCCTCTTGTATGTCGATGCCACAACTGCCCACCCCCACGACTGAGTCACGCGTGTGACTTTGATGGGCGGGGGCACCCCATCCGACCGATCAGGTTGGTTTGGTCAGTCGGGTCTAGACTTGGGTATGGAGTGCCGGTGGTAAGCCTGGCCCTGGACCAGAGGCTGGGTTGCAACAGTGAATGAACCACACCGTCTCTGTCCGATGTCCCCCTACCTCCCCCCCCCAACACACACACAAGCTGCTTGTGCCCCCGCAGGCGGTCAGTGCCCGCACAGAGGTTTGCGCTAAAGCTCAAGGGGTTCTAGGCATAGAAGCAGTGGATGCTGCCAGGGACCATGAAGGAAGGTGGCACAGAGGAGACCCTCCGGGCTGAGGTGGACCTTGGAAGATGCACAGGTCTTAAGGGCAGAGGAAGAGCAGGCACACCTGTGGTGGACAGCCTGGGCTTATGGAAGGTGCCAGGCTCCGGGGGCAGGTTGGACCTCTTCTGGTTGTATGACTGGGCGAGCTATCGAAGGAGGAGGGCCGTGGGTGGCTGGGTGGGGGGCAGGTCCTATTTAAAGAAGCTCTCCTGGGATGAGTCCAGGGCAGGCTCAGGAAAGGCCGTGGCGTTGACAGGCCCTCAGAGGGAGGCCTCTTCCACGCACCCCTCTCCTGCCTCCTGGGCAGGGGCTTGGGGCGGCATTGCTTCCCTCTGCCTTCCCGAAGGTTGTGGGGGGCTCTGTTTTCTGACTGGTAGGGGCTACCTGGGAGTCAGACATCCCTAATTGGCTCCCACCCCTCAGCAGAGATGACTTCTTGGGGCCCCTCCTGGGCGGGTCATCGGGTGGGGCGGCATCCCCATTAACCAATTAGTGTCTGCCCTCCCAAGCCATCTAGCTGTCAGCATCCT